TGTATAGCAAGAGTTGGTTGGCTATAGATGGTGTTTTACTCTACTACACTATTGAAGTTAACTAAAAAGTTGATAATCTTTTCAGTTTTTAAAATGTTTCTCTGAGATTTATTTGAATATTATAGGATTTGATAAGTTATAGTTTGAATCCAGTAGGTTGAGTAGGGAACATGATGCCCTAGATATATGGTTATTCTTAAAATAAGATCAGCTAGGGGTAAAAGCTTGGTGGAGTGAAGAGTGTAAGAGGCCAGTCTTTATAACGAGACCCAGCTGAGTTTGAATTTGGGGCTGCCACTTATTCATGTTGTGTGATTTCAGGCAGGTTACTTTCCTGAGCCTCAATTTCTTCACCTATAAGTGAAGACCATAATGCCTACCTTTTATTATTATTGGGAAGGGTAAATAAAATGTGTGAAGCACTAAGCTTGGTATACTAATAAATAGTGACTAGTATCATTAATAACAACAATTCTATTTTCATTAATTTAGTATTTCTCAGGAGTAATGAATGTGGAATATACTAACCAGATGGCAGGTCACAAAGGCTTCACTCTCACTAGGAATTTTAATTACAGTTCAGATAGTGTCTAAACCAGTAAGTAGTCTGGTTCAGGGGAGAATAGAATGTATATTTTAGTTGGTTAACTGTCTTTAATCTCTGTAGTACTTTTTGGTCACATTGATTTGGGGTTAAAGTTGAATGAATCCATAAATCAGAAACAGTATTTCTTGGTTGGGTGAATGACTTCAACAGTTACACTGCAAAATGAATTACATTTAAATACTGGTTAATAACTTGTAAATTATTTTTTACTGTTAGCTAAATCTCTTAATTAGGACAAAAATTTGGAGGGTTAACTGGGCACTATACTAGTCTACTAGGGGTGTTTTTTTTATTTAAAAAAATTTTGAAATATACGATACAATATTTAAGATATCCGAATAGATAAATGAGTAATAAATACCTGTGAAGCCATCTGGAAACAAAATGTTCTGTCTTGCCAATGGGTTTCAGCCCCAGACAAGTTCACTATGGATTCAGTGAGACCAAAGAAGTGACAGTGGAATGTTCTTGGGGTGAAAGGGTTTATACCCAACTTTATTTTCATGGTGGCAGGTCAATCACTAGAATCCTGTCCACTCAGAGCAAGTCTGCATGCAGCAAGCTGGGCTCTGCCTCTGGGCCTTTCTACTCCCACAGCCATATCAGTCTCTGTCCACCACATTCCAGCCTCTGCTGTCCTGCAGCTGTGCAGCAGCTGTGCCACTGTGTTGCCCAGAGCACTGGGAGGAGCTCTGTATAGAGTCAGTAAGAACATATTGCCCACACATGTGTAGTGAGCTAGCCGACCAGGGCCAGGTGAGAATCCTGGCCATATGAACCTTCACTTTATCCACAGTTACTAATATATTTGAAACACCATATACTTGCCAATTTCATTCCCTTCCTTAATCTTTTAAGGCAAACATCCAGAAATTAGGTAACACTCCTGTGGGTTTCTTCACATTTCTGTTGTTTAACTTGTAAACAATATATAGTATACTCTATTTGCAGATTTTGTATTCTTGAATAATTAAAAAATTTCGGTAACATTGTGGTTGAAATCCATGTTGAATTGTGTCACTGTTTAACATCCATTTTAGGTACTCCATTGTATACCTAAATATATGTTTCCACTCTCTTTTTATTGAACAATTGTATTATTTACTTTTTCTTTTGCTGTTATACAAAATTCTAATTTAGATATTCTTGTCCCACATTAAAGTGCTTCATATGGTGAATTACAAGTAGTAAAACTAGTTCTTTCAAGTCATCTCTTCTGTCTAGAAATAATAAATCAATGCTTTGTGAATTTGAGTTGTTTTCATTGCCTCGCTTAAGAACTTCTGGGTTAGTGATGTTGATGAGCATGTTTTACTGTTTCTCGTAAAATTTTCCAACAAAAAGACTTAAGTTATGTAAATTCCCCAAGTTACTGAATTTAGGCGAGATGCTTTTAAAACGTAGAGCAGATGGTCATTTGGGTATTAGTAGAATGAGTCAAAAGCTTTCATCAGGTGGTTCATTTAACAGCTGCACATGTCTTCATAAAGCTTAGCTCAGGAAAAGAGCATTAATTCTCTAGGGAATATGGTATTCTTTAGAAGGAGAAAAAGCACTAACAGGTTTAGTTAGGGAATTAGGTTTTTTGAAATAAAAATTTTAAGGAATAACTCTTGCCAGAATTGAGGACGTTTAGACTGGGAGGGAATGTTTTTAGATGAGAATGAATGTAGTGGATATAGTTAAGGGGAAACAAAAAAGCTACCGAAGAGCAGTAAAATGTTAGCCTTGCTTATTTAATGCCTTTTATTCTGTTTTATATTTTCTTTAAATATCAACTCTTGTTTTGGTCAGGTAATTGCATTCTCATTAAGAGTTCTGTAGGCTCATTTTGGTGGGGAGAGGGTTGCTTTGTTTACTTTTTCCAGTTCTCAGCGTTAGTTGTCTGTTCCACAGCTGTTCAGTAGCTTTGCTGGCATTTGAACTGTGGGAACCAAGAAAGGATTTGGATGTGCTTTTGTGTGCATTAATGGTTTTCCTGAAGTATTCTTTAAAACCATGAATTGTGGGGTTTTTTTTAAAGCAGTTATTGTGTTTAAATGGTTCCTTTTAAAGAAAGCCTGTACTCAGATTATGAGCTCATGAATATTGTTATCATTGTACTTTGTGGAAAATGAGGTTAGAAAAGACAAACACACAAATAGAAGAATAGCTGAAAACTAGACTTTCTTTTTGTGGTCAGGTGGGGAGGTTGGGATACATTTTCCCTGCCTTTCATCAACCTATTCTTATTTGAAGGGCTGCACAGTTAAGGATAGACCTCTCAATGTAATTTTTGTTTTGATCTAGTATGAAAAGTGTAGCATCTTTGGATGTACGTTTTACAAAATTTGAAAGCAGAGTCAAAATCTTTTAAGGCATTTGATACCTTCCTGTGGATAAAGTGAAGGTTCTTATGGCCAGTATTCTCACCTGGCCCTGGTCGGCTAGCTCACTGCACACGTGTGGGCAATACATTGTTTTGGACTTTATATAAAGAGCTCCACCCAGTGCTCTGGGCAACAAGGTGGCATGGCCCCACAGCTGCTGCATGGCTGCAAGGCTGCAGGAGAGCAGAGACTGAGACAGTTGCAGGGGCAGAGAGGCCCAGAGGCAGAGATTGGCTTGCTGCATGCAGACTCACTCTGAGTGGATGGGATTCTAGTGATTGACCTGCCACTGTGGGAATAAAGTTGGGTATAAACGCTTTCACCCCAAGAATGTTGCATTGTCATTCCTTGGTCTCATTGTATCCATAGTGAACTTGCCAGGGGCTGAAACCCATTGGCAAGATACTTCCATAGAGGTTGTAGCAATTTATATGTCCACATCAGTGGTATCTGGTTCTGACGCTGTCTTTACAAGCACTGACAGACTATTTTTAATCTGTGTCAGTTTGACAGGATAAAATTGTATCTTGTTTTTTTAATAATGAAAATATGTTTATAATTAAGCTAAGCAATTCCAAAGTATATAGAACAAAGGTGAGAGTGCTTTTCTCCCCACCTGTGTACCACCAACCACTCTCAGCAATTTGGAGTGGGTTTTCAAAGATTGTCTCATTACACACTGTATATGTGTGCTCAATGCATATGCCTTCTAGGTTTGTGCCATGCTTAGAAAGATTTTCCTCCTGTTTTGTCAATGGCTTTTAGCCCCAGGCAAGTTCGCTATGGATTCAGTGTGACCAAAGAAATTGACAGCAAAACGTTCTCAGGGTGAAAGGGTTATACCCAACTTTATTTCCAGGTGGCAGGTCAGTCACTAGAATCCCATTCACTCAGAGTGAGTCTGTATACAGCAAGCCAGTCTCTGCCTCTGGGACCCTCTGTCCACAGAGCTGTCCTCTGGCCTTCTCTCTACAGTCGTCCCGCACAGCCATCCCCCGGGCCTCTCTGCACAGTCGTCCTGCACAGCCATCCTCTGGGCCTCTGTTGTCAGCTCTCCACCACTCCAGCCTCAGCTCTACTCTCCTGCAGCCTTGCAGCCCTGCCACCTCACGTGCAGAGCTCTTTATATAGAGTCAACAGTCATGTATTGCCCACAGGTGTGCAGTGAGCTAGTCAACCAGGGCTAGGTGAGAATCCTGGCCACAGGAATTCTCATTTTATCTACACCTCCAAATTGTAAAATACACTGTTCAACTTATTTCCTAGCACTTCTTTTTCATATTTAGCTCCTTAGTTTATCTTTATTTTTGGTATGTTGTACTGTAGGGAACTAAAGTTTAACAAGGATTGAGCTTTTTTTAAAATTTTGTTCTAATTATAATGGAAACAGACTACCCCAAAATTTAATGGTGTGAAATCATTTATATGCTCATGGTTTCCAGGACTTGGAGATGGCTTCAAGGTCACCAGACTTAGTATGAAAGAGCTTGCAAGGCCTGTAGGGTGTGAATCCTGAGGGGGAGATAGAGAAAAACAGACAAGTGGCACCTGCATTATGGCCTAACCTCAAAAGTCACATAATGTTACTTCTGCCACCTTTTATTGATAGAGGCAGTTGCAAATGCCTACCCAGGTCTAGTAGGAAAATAGATCCATCTCTTTTTAGTCATGTGTTGTTGTCAAAAGAGCATTTCAGATCCGGCAAGCAGCCTGTGCCCCCGGCCGCACTACTTGCTGCCCGATACCAACGTGCTTCTGCACCAGATTTTAAGTGTCTGGAGGCCAGGGACCTGGGGTTCTGTGGCCTCCAGCTTGCGACCCCCAGGCAGCTTATTGATGTTCTTGAGGACCCAGCCATCAGGAATGTAATTGTGCTGCAAACAGCCCTTCAAGAAGTAAGAAATCGGAGTGCTCCAGTATATAAACGAATTCGAGATGTCACTAACAACCAGGAGAAGCATTTCTATACCTTCACTAATGAGCACCATAGAGAAACTTATGTAGAACAAGAACAGGGAGAAAATGCTAATGACGGAAATGATAGAGCCATTCCAGTAGCAGCAAAATGGTACAATGAACATTTCAAGAAAATGTCAGCAGAGAATCAGCTACAAGTTATCTTCATAACAAATGATAGGCAAAACAAGGAAAAAGCCATAGAAGAAGGAATATCAGCTTTCACTTGTGAAGAATACGTAAAAAGCCTAACTGCTAATCCCAAACTCATAGATCGTCTTGATTGTTTGTCTGAAGAAGGGAATGAAATAGAAAGTGGAAAAATAATACTTTCAGAGCACCTTCCCTTAAGTAAGCTACAGCAAGGCATAAAATCTGGTACATACCTTCAAGGAACATTTAGAGCCAGCAGGGAAAATTACTTAGAAGCTGCAGTATGGGTTCATGGAGACACTGAAGAAAACAAAGAGGTAATGTTGCAAGGACTTAAAAATTTAAACCTAGTGATTCATGAAGATATTGTGGCTGTGGAGCTTCTTCCCAAGAATCAGTGGGTAGCACCATCTTCAGTGGTTTTACATGATGAAGGGCAAAATGAAGATGATATAGAAAAAGAAGACGAGAGAGTACACATTCTTAAGACTGCTCTAAATAAAAAAATGTTAAAGCCTACAGGTAGAGTTGTAGGAATAATAAAAAGGAGTTGGAGACCAAATTGTGGCATGCTTTCCAAGTCTGATGTTACGGAGTCAAGAAGACATCTCTTTACACCTGCTGATAAGAGAATCCCTAGAATTTGGATAGAAACCAGACAGGCTTCTATATTGGAAGGACGGAGAATTATTGTTGCTGTTGATGGTTGGCCTAGAAATTCCAGATATCCAAATGGACACTTTGTGAAAAATTTGGGTGAAGTCGGAGACAAAGAGACTGAAACAGAAGTGTTGTTACTTGAGCATGATGTTCCCCACCAGCCTTTTTCACAGGCTGTTCTGAGCTTTCTACCAAAGATGCCCTGGAGCATTACTGAAAAGGACATGAAAAACCGAGAAGATCTGAGACATCTGTGTGTTTGTAGTGTGGACCCACCAGGATGTACCGATATAGATGATGCTCTACATTGTAGAGAACTTGAAAATGGAAATTTGGAGGCCAGGAAATGCTTTGGATCAAGTATCAGCCAGAAGGGGAACAACTGTGTATCTTTGTGAAAAGAGAATTGATATGGTTCCAGAGTTGCCGAGCTCTAACTTATGTTCCTTAAGATGTAATGTTGACAGGTTGGCATTTTCATGTATTTGGGAAATGAACCACAATGCTGAAATCTTAAAAACCAGGTTTACCAAAAGTGCGATTAATTCAAAGGCTTCTCTTACGTATGCTGAAGCTCAGATGAGAATTGCTTCAGCAACCATGAACGACGATATTACCACTAGTTTGCGTGGACTAAATAAACTTGCTAAAATTTTGAAAAAAGGAAGAATAGAAAAAGGGGCTTTGACCCTCTCTTCTCCAGAAGTTCGATTCCACATGGACAGTGAAACTCATGATCCTATAGATCTGCAGACCAAGGAACTTAGAGAGACAAATTCCATGGTGGAAGAATTTATGTTACTTGCCAATATCTCTGTTGCAAAAAAAATTCATGAAGAATTTTCTGAACATGCTCTGCTTTGAAAACATCCTGCTCCTCCTCCATCAGATTATGAAATTCTTGTTAAGGCAGATAAATCCAAGAATTTGGAAATTAAAACAGATACAGCCAAGTCTTTGGCTGACTCTTTGGCCCAGGCTGATTCTCCTACTTTCCCATATCTAAACACTCTGTTAAGAATATTAGCCACTCGCTGTATGATGCAAGCTGTGTACTTCTGCTCTGGAATGGATAATGATTTTCATCACTATGGCTTAGCATCCCCGATATACACACATTTTACTTCACCCATCAGAAGATGCGCAGACATCATTGTTCATCGATTGTTGGCTGTGGCAATTGGGGCAGACTGCACTTATCCTGAGCTCACAGACAAACAGAAGCTTGCAGATTTATGTAAGAATCTCAATTTCCGGCACAAAATGGCTCAATATGCCCAACGTGCATCAGTGGCTTTTCATACCCAGTTATTTTTCAAAAGTAAAGGAATAGTAAGCAAAGAAGCCTATATTCTGCTTGTAAGAAAGAATGCAATTGTGGTGTTAATTCCTAAGTATGGTTTAGAAGGTACAGTCTTTTTTGAAGAAAAGGACAAACCAAAGCCACGGTTTACTTATGATGATGAGATACCTTCACTTAAAATAGAAGATACAGTATTTCATATATTTGATAAAGTTAGAGTGAAAATCATGTTAGACTCATCTAATCTTCAGCATCAGAAAATCCGAATGTCCCTGGTAGAACCACAGATACCAGGAATAAACATTCCTGCTGATACTTCAAACATGGACACTTACGAGCCAAAGAGAAAGAAGAATCAGCTTGAAAAGTAACTACAGTCAACAAAAACAACTTCCAAGCTTGGTTCCCTTTAAAAAAATGAAAAACAAAACACCTTGAAAGAACACCTCTAAACCTAAGAAGTGTGGGATAGACAGTTTGTTACTTTCAAGTCCATTTTAATAATTTTTTAAATTTGCATTTTTATTGAACTGTTGACTGTGCTGGACTGCCCGTCGTACTACTTCATTTCTGGCTTGAACAGAACTATTTATGCAGAAAAATTGAATTGAATATCACTGAAGTACTGTCAGGATAGCAACTTCAGGGATCTGTAAAGATCATTTAAGTGGAGCATTCATCTGCTCACTGAGGAACAGGTTAATTTTGTGTAAGTAATTTGATTATTTAATATTGATAGACAAACTATCATTTTTCTATGGAGGAAAATAAAACATTTTTAGAAGCCAGAAACAATCTATTTCTAAATCTTGAAAACTGTCAGTGTTTGGTATGGCAATTTTCAGATTTCAAGACGTGAAGTCAAAATATGTTGAAAATCAGTATTTAATCTCCTCTGCCATTCTTAATTTACCTGACAAACATGTTCTGTTAAATGTTAAAAAGCCTGCCTTTATTAGTGGTCCTTGAACAGCTGTGAATGTTTGGGGTTAAATGTTGTAAGAAGGCAAGAATAGGATATTTTGATCTGACTAGAAAAAAAATTTTTTTTTAAAGCAAGTTAAAAGGATCATTGTGCCTGACCTTCAAATCTCTCTCCCAAAAATAAGGCAGTAGGGCTCAAAGAAAAGAACAGAGATGGTACTATGAATGTCTACATCATGTTATTTATAAAATAAAGTAGCTAACAGCTTTTTAAACTGCATCTGTATCAGATTCGATAGGAAAGGCATAATTTTAAGTAAGGACTTATTAAGGGGAACAGATTGAAGTATTACAACTTGGTATGCCAGACTGACTACTTCCCTTGTTAACCAGAAAGATTAGTAATGATAAGTGCTTTCAAGAATATTTTGAGATAGTTACCTTTCAACATTTTACTTTGCTTATTCATATTCTATACTTACAAAGTACAAGTCTTATCGCCAATCAAGTAAACTATCTTTGTCTTAGGAAAACATCTGTATGTGGAGGCAGGACTTGTTTCAGTTGAAGGAAGATAGCTTTGAGTCCAAGAAATAGACTAAGGTGCAAGACTAGGCACCTTACACTAAGTGTAAGGTGCAACACTTAGGTTGCTTCCATATCTTGGCAATTGTAAATAATGCAGCAATAAACACGGAAGTTCATTTAAAAAAAAAAGCATTTCAGATGGGATATAGAATAGTTTGGTGTGGCCCTTTTTGGAAAATACCATCTGCTACACCTTTTCCTCCATTTTAAATATACACTAAGTTTTCCAGGGATCTAATTGTTGTGAAATGCATATATAAAGCAGGAGTATATCTGTATTTTAGTATTAAAATCTGTGAATTAAAAAAATATAGTGATTCTTGCCATTTGTCATTAAAAATTCTAATTTTATGAAAATTAAAAATTCAGTTGAATAGCCCTTCATCAGTTATGACAGTTTTTCAAAATCTTTATCTGTTACAGGTTTTAGAGTTTACCTTAAGAAGTATCTTGGTGTGAGCTGGAAAAATTTCTTAACTTTGCAAACTTTTGCTATTTGTGTTTGGGAATAATAATTACAGGAATAATTGCCCCATTTTTTCAAAATGAACATTATAAGGAATTATTTACATACTGATTTGAAGCAAAATAAAGCAAATTCTTAGTAACCTAAGGGGTGACTAGCCAGTTTATGGATTATTTGGTATTTATTTTTTAAAGTCCTTAAATGATTATAAAAACCCATACAAACCCATTTTTCTATGTTTGTTTATATGATACCCAAAAAGGAAGAGTAGAGGAAGGTTGCACTTAGCCTTCTGATTTATATTTTGAAAGACTGAAGCATGTAATAACTAGTGAAGAGTTGTATAGCTATATGTGGTTTTAAATTTTAGTATACTTTCTAAAAATAGTCTAGAGTGTAATTTTTGGGGGGCTATATGGCTGATGGTAATCTTCATGATTGATGCAGTCAGACTTAATTAGCCGTAGAATAGAGTACACCATTGTGAACTGTTGAGAAGCGATGAATGAGCTGCCAGTTGGTATATAGGCCTGTCTTCGTGGCAGTTGGGTTCACTGTTGCTACTCTGGAGTGAAAGCATTTGAGAGGAACTGAGGAGACAGGTACAGCTGCAGGTAAGCCATAAGCTTTGGGGGAAAAATGAGATGAAATCATCATGAGAATGGCTGTGGAGAACGTGGGTAATTTGCTAAAATGAGGATATTCCACATACAAGTAATTTAGTGTTTTGTACATGCAGTCCCTGGGATATTGATAAATTTATCAAGTTCTTTGATCTTTGTGGAAGTATTACCAAATTTGAGATATATGATGACTTGATGACTACAATTAGATGACTTGTACATTTAATAAATCTATTAAGATTAGATTAAGTGCAGTATAATTGTTTACATTTGCGTTTTGCTTTAAAGCCTTTTAAAGTATGTTTACCTCTATTACATCACTTTAGCTTTGCAATGTCCATTTGCCAATGTTGTCTTAGTCTGTTTGGGCTGCCATAACAAACTGCTAAATTAAAGACTGAGTGGTTTAAACAAAGGAATTTATTTCTCACTTTTTTGGGGGCTGGGAAGTCCAAGGTCATGGTATTGGCCAACTTGATTTCCTGGTGAGGGCTGTCTTACTGGCTTGGGACTGTTGCCTTCTTGCTGTGTCCTCCCATGGTGCAGAGAGACCTCTGGTCTTTTTTCCTCTGCTTAGAAGGACATTAACACCTTTATGGGGTCCTGCTCTTCATTACCTCATCTAAACCTGGTTCCCTCCCTAAGGCCTCACCTCCAGATACCATCACACTGTGGATTCAACATGTGCATTTAGAGGAGAGACGCATTTAGGGGAGACGCATTTAGTCCGTAACACATAGGAAAGCAAGTAGTCTCTCAATTCATAGAAGAGAATATTGGTCCCAGAGTAGTTTCAGTTAATTCTGAACATTATCTAGCTAATAAGTTTTAAGCTAGCTTAAATCACTTACCCTTGTTTTTACCATTTAATGCAACAATTTAAATATATAAGTCAGAAGTCATGTCTTATTTCCTGTCCTAACGCTGTAACTCATCTCTAGGTCTCTGACTATATTTCATATTCCTGCCAAACAAATAAAGCTGCCCTTAGTTCATTGAACACACTCTGTGCTCTTCTGAGATTTCTTCTTTCTCCCTTTGTAAGTTCTAGTCATCCACCATTTCGATGAAACTTTACCTGATTTCTTTTTCCTATTTGGTTTCTTAGATGAGTTTCTATCAGTGGCGGCCTGGGCTTGCATTTTTAAATTACTGTGCTTATTTATTTTTTTTGTTGGTGGTTCCCTTTCTGTTTTTTAAGCAGAGCAGTTCTAGATTTTAGTTTATTTTACTGTTTGTTCCTAAATATCTCTAATACTTGTTTTCTCCCAAATGATCTCATTTATACCTGTTTTTTTTTTTGTTGTTGTTATTCTACATCTTTTGTTTTCTAACCATATCCACCAAGTCCTAAATCTGTCTTGACTCTGTTTCTTTCCACTCTGTCATCACCTTGACTTAAACCACCATTGTCTCACCTGGAGTGCTTCACGATCTTACGACTTCACTTTGTTTTGATAGCCACTTTGGTTTTCTTTCTTTTGTTCTCCAGACTATAGCAAAAGTGATTTTTGAAAGTGGCAGACGCCTGCCCACAGTAACAGTAAATAAATAGTTCCAGAATGAATCAGTAGGTACTGATGTCTGGCGTCTTCCCTGTCCCTGCAGTCAAGCATTTGTGTGATGGGAGGCTGCACTGGAATTGCACACACGGCATGTTTGGCTTTGGGTGTCAGTCCTCTCTGGTAGGTCAGTAGGCATCCCAGCTTCCCTCCTACCTTCCCTCCGTTTTTTTCTTCTTAACCTTCTCAGCTCAGATACAAGTTTCTCTTCATGTTTGGCTCATTATTTAGAATCTGGTTACCTTCCTCAGAGGGATTTTAAACCTGGGTATAGGAAGTGAATTACATAGTTTTTTTTCCTTATCAGAAAATAGCAATACTGTGTTAGTTTTTGTAGAGGTACATAATACCATTTTATTAGCAGTACTTGATTTTGTTATCTTGATTCTTAGACTATCCCTTACCTTTAAAGAACATATTGCCTCCTCCAGAGGGAACTGAGGTTCTGAGAACTAAGATGACTCCTTCCTTTCATTTGATTATGGAAAATTTCTAAACTGATAAAGAACAGAATAATATAACAACCCCCCGTGAAACTTCACTACGAGCGATCTTGTTTCATCTAAACCTTACCTTCCCCTTTGTTCCCACCCAATTATTTTGAAAATAAAATACTTCAGTTAAATATAGATACTTGAGTTAAAATGACTATTTCAAGGTTGTAAAGATAGCTAGTGACAGAGCCATAACTTGAATCCATGAAACAGTGTCAGTGTTGTTTGGACAACACAGCCCTTGCTAGTAGTTCAACACTGTGTTTGACGGCAGCTTGTGTTCATAAAGTAGTGACACTGATGTTCACAAGCCATGCGTTGTTCATAAAACTGCTAGTTTTAATTTGTTGAACAAGTGATCTCAATATAACAGAATAGTAAAGGGACATTAGGGAATATTGGGGTACACTGGGGAACAGTTTTGGGTATCCTGAAATGTTATTTTCATGATTTTATAATGGTACCTTTTATAGTTTTAATGTTTATGTCATCAAATTCATGTGAACATTTTTAGTGGACATGATATTACGAAGGGTTAATTCTCTTTTTCTAGCATTTACTGCTTCTTGTTCCTTAAGGGAAACAAGCAAATAACAAATTATAGTTTCCTTTGAAGCTGGGAAACTTGCTTGGTAATCATTCTCTGAAGTTTATTGTTTATGGGGAGAAAGTGGTCACTACCTAGGGGTGAATCCTTATGTTAATTGATAGATTGTTTCCATGATACTCTGAGGGTAGAACTGTCTTGTCTTTTGTAGTATACCTGTGGACTAGGTTGAAATTCCTCAAAAGATTTCTGAGGATTTGGTCTGAAACATCAACTTGGTGGTAAAAGGTTCTTCCTTCTTTCTCTAGATTGGACTTAAGTTTCAGTTTGTGGATGAAAGCGAAGAAAGTGCTACTGAGAAATGTTCTTACTAATGAAAAAAGAAGGGGTAAAAAATGTTTAGTCTGAATTTGTACTGATTAAAGTATTTGAAATCTATTTTGAAACTACATTGGTACATTTGAAATATTATTTCCTGCTGTGTTGAAATACTTTGTGAAATGCTCTGTTCTTATTTTTTGCCCCAGGGAATAATATCAAGTAAATAATAGTTGTAATTAATGTAATTATGTGCCCTGGCTCTTACTAGGCATCAAGCATGATGGAACCATGTGTGATACCTGCCGTCAGCAACCAATCATTGGTATTCGATGGAAATGTGCAGAATGTACGAATTATGACTTGTGCACAGTTTGCTATCATGGAGATAAACATCATTTGAGGCATCGCTTTTATAGAATTACTACACCAGGAAGTGAGCGGTAGGGGAAACAATTTTTTCTTCTTTTGCAATTCCTTGTTTGTATTCAATTTTTAATACTATTCAGCCTTAAAAATAGGGGTTGGAAGTAGCTTCTGGCAGCTGGTTCAGTACCAGGAGGTAGCAGGTAGCAAGGCTGGGTGTGGACCAGGCTGGCCATATAGGGAGAAAAGTTCTGTGAAGATGGAGCTATGTGTATTTTTCCAAGATAATCTGGGCTGTTCTTTCTCTAGTGTAGAGACTTGGCACTACTCAGTGTTTGGAAGTGCAAGGACAGCCCAAGAGAGGCTGATTATTTTCTTCTCACTATGCATTCTGTGCTGTTAATTGCTTCCAGATGAACACTAGGGCCCATTGATTGAATCAGCAGGTGTTTATTAAAACACCTATAGTATACTTGTGTAAATTTGAAGGTAAATAAGACAGTGTTCTTAAGGAGTTTAAGCAACAGCTTAAGGGATTTTTTGATCAAGACTGATTTATCATGTGACATTTTAGACTACATTTACAGATATGTATTAAGTGTTTAGGAGCAAAAATAGAGGAATACTGATTATTAATGGGTACAGTTCAGCTTGTTCAGTGCTCTCATGTAGATAAGGATAGTACATAGAGGCAAGAATCTGACCAGTTTTAGGAAGCAGCAGGAGTAGGAAAAATGGATTATGAAGTCAGAGTGTTCCAGTTTAAATCCTGGTTCTGCTGTTTATTAATTGAGTAATTTTGAACAAGTTATTTATTTTTGTCTTTTGCTTTCAGTTTTCAAAATTAGAGTATGACAAAGACATTCTGAAAATGAATAAAATAATGAGATAAAATTAGAAGAACAGAAGGGAAAAAACCCAAACTTTCTTGATTTTATGAATGAGAAGGATGTAGAAGAATAAGGGGTAGATGTCCTTGGAGAACCAACTGGTCCAGGTAGTTAAGTGTAGGATCTTTCAGAGTCCAGAGTCTTCTGTAAGTATGCCCAACTTTGTTTAGGTCAAAGACAGTTTACATCAAATCCAGGCCACAGATATATTTTACTTGGCATATACAGTCCTCTGAATTTTTAAACAATTGCTAACCTTTTAAAATCAGGTAATTTCATGCAAAAAATGTAGGTTTATGAATTCTTGATACCTCTCCCCCTATCAGTCTGAAGTCTGTCAACAATAGGCTTGTATTTGTTCTTGGCAACAGTTGGCTGAAATAGTGGAGTACCCCCCTCCATCCTTCACAAATCGTGGTCTTTAGTTCACCAAAGTCCCTGCCACTCCCTGCTATCTTCCTGAGTATGAGGTCAAGTGCCACTTGCCATTTTGTCATTGTTGTGGTGCTGTCTTTCTTAGGCTTTAACTTACATTACTTGCCAGACACTTGTAGGAATTTGAATTTGCCATCTCTAAAGTAGTGCAAGTGAAGGACCTGAAAGTAGATTGGGTTCATATGTTGATTCCATTACTGTTTGACTTTTGTGACCTTAGGTAAATTACTTTGCTCTTTGAGACTCAGTTTTCTTATTTGTAGAATGAATAATATGACAATACCTTCCTCTTAAGGAGTGTAACAGACTTTACACCTCTGTAAGTGCTTTACATATTTAGTAAAACCTCAGTAAATAGTAGCCATTATTACTCCAGCCACTACTGTCATCATCAGCTCTGTGGAATGCTATACTCCTGTAGCATGCTATTGTGATATTGACCAGAAGAAAGAAAAATCTTTTGTATTTTCAAAATAACCTGTTTGTAATTTTAAGAAACAAATAACTGTTACCTATTTTTACATAAATTTGAAAATAAGTAATTTTATTTTTAGGGTTCTGTTGGAGTCTCGTAGAAAATCTAAGAAGATTACAGCCAGAGGGATCTTTGCAGGTGCCAGAGTGGTACGAGGAGTGGACTGGCAGTGGGAAGATCAGGATGGAGGAAATGGACGCAGAGGAAAGGTAAAATATTTTTAAATAAATCATGTTATTCTAGCATATGGAATGTTCAGGAAATTTTTATTACTACCATAGTTGAATTTCTTGTCCCATTTTTTTCTTATGCCAATAATAATTTTTAAAATCTTAATTTTAGTATGGAAGAAAAGATAGTTTCTGCTCTGTTACAAGTATTGGCACTGCTTACAAAAGTCCTTGGGTAGGTTTTACCTTTGTAGCTTTAGGTTTCATATTGCCAATTTGTTGCCAGAATGCCTCTCTAAATATCCTGTTTGGGCCAGTCCTCCCTAGCAGTATCACGATCTCTACTTCCTTGATATTAAAATTTCATTTGAATTTACTTATTCTGTGTTCTCTTCCCTTAAAGGCCTATTTTGGAGTGGGTAATAGGCAGTTATTTTGTTGTCCTGTTACTCTTCTCAGGTAGTGTGTAGGGCTGTCTAGGGGTCAGTCATAGCAGTTAATCTGAAGGGGATTTTATATAGCCTGCTTAATGGGGCAGGATAGGTAGAGATATTAGGGTGAATGGGTTGTTGGTTTTATTTATTTTAGATTTTGTGTTGCTTTTGCTGATTATTCATTCACTGATTCAGACAACAAATATTAAATGTGTATACTCTATTACACTTGATGCTGGAAGTACTGAAATGAGTAACATTTCACATTTGAGACTTAGGTGTCCATCACTATCAGTCCCACTCTTCTTGAAAAAATTGTTTTTAGTATTGAGGAATGATGGTTTTAAAGTCTGTGTCATTTGAGGAATTTTTTACAGGAACTTAAAATTTCTTGTATAACTTTGTGCTATATAGATTCTTTTGAATTAAAAAATTTTAAATGTTTTAAAAAAGTAGGTGTTTTCTAAATTCACAATATTGTTACTATATTGATTTTACTTGAAGGTCTACTTTTAATATTTGGAAGTCAAACATGTATTTTAGTCATTATATTTTAAGTACTTTAATTTTTATTAAGGAAGCAAACTTGCTTTTTAAAAATAATATAGTAAATACTTATTGAACATTTATTATTCGCAGGGTTATTTCAAGCATCAGGGATATAACAATAAAGAAAACAAAGTTTTTACTCTCCTGAAACCTATATTCTAATTAGGTGAGATAGAAAAAAATGTAAATTCTGTGACTAGTGTACCCTGTGGACCAGCAGCATTAGTGTCACCTGACAACTTGCTAGAAATGTAGTCATAGGTATTAGGTTCCATTCTTTGTAGACCCTCCAGATTAAGATCTTCATTTTAACAAGATCCCTAGGTCATTTATTGCACATTAAAGTTTGAGAAGTACTGCTCTAAAAAGAAAAGCAGAGCAGTATGAATTTGGAAAGGGTGCCACTTCTAGGTGGATGGAGTGCTATGGGGACGTGCTTGGCAAGCCAGTCACAGAGAAAAGGCACCCCTTTGGGGATAGGGGCTGGAACAGCCTTGCTGCCATGCACAGGTCTCATTAAGTGCAGCTTGGGCTGGATGTCAGTCCCTACTCTCCTCCTTAATGAGGCCCCTTGTGCAGTGAGCAATTCATACAACCGTTATAGCAGTCTTATATCACACAGAAGAATTTATAAAATGTATGTAAAAGTTAAAAGAATAGTAATAAAATGAACACTTTTGATCTTACTATATTAAAAATATGGACTGTTACGAGTATCTTTAAAAGCCTCTGTTTACCCTTTCCCACTTGGAAGCCCCCCAAGGTAAGAAACATTTGCTGTTGTTGTTCCATTGTTTTTTTCTTTTTTGTTATATGACTTAGTGTAGTGTCCTGCATTTAGGATTTAATTTTTGGAAAACCACAAATCTAGCTATTTTAACGACAGAGCAGCACTGCCATTTTTGGATGAAAACTGCCAGAATATAAACTGAACAGAGCCTCTGGGTAACCTGCCTTGATTCCCTGGAAGTTTACAAGAGTGTTCTGGTGTAGTCTGTGGGAGGGTCACTGGTGAGTCCTGGGAAACACAGGGCATAACACAGGACCTCAGGCAGGGCAGAAGAATGGGCTAGGTGCTGAGCATTGGGCAGAAACATGGTCAGAGGGGATGAATTACTATGTATATTTTGCTTGTCAGCTTACTGTGGTCTAAAAGTTTTAGAGTAGTAGGTCAAAGCAGAATATACTAGGGTGAGATGAGAGACCTCAGCTAATCTAGGTGGCTGGGAATGGAGAGTGGGGGAGAGGGTGGGAACCTCATTATTATATAGTCCAAACAAGCCAAGTGCACTTCAGAATTTGGCCCAGGCTCACTTGGCCAGTGTATCCTTAGGTTGGTAAAATGGTATAAAGTGAAAAATAAATAAAACCATCTTGTAAGTGTAACTGAGTGAGGGAACTTAATATACTAAATCTTCAGGGAAACATTGTTGAAGCACGTTTTGGAGATTTAAGTGTGATTTTCATTGTCTGACTTTTTTTGTGTCCACTTGAATGAAGAAAGTTTTTAAGTCCCCTTTTTTCCTTCAGTGCTGCCTGCTCTATCCCAGTCCCCTAGTTAACCCACATGAATATTGTGTAGTGAATTCTTTTCGAGGTTAGAAATTGCCACCCCACCACCATCAACACATGTATTTAGCTGTATCTCTAGTATGAGCTGTATGAGGGGCGTGTACCAACCCAGGCTGATGTTGCAATACTGATGCAGTCTGTGGCTCACCATATGCCAACGTGTACCCTAATTTGAATGGTGATAATGAGTTCACACACAACAATAAACATGTTAAGTGTAGGCTTTGACAAGCATGATGTAAAGACATCATGGAAGTATGTAGTGTATTCTCAAAGGGTTTTTTTTTGGTACCACTACCTATGTTAGTATTTCAAGACTTGTTTTAATATTTTAAATGCTTTTGAATATTTGTCAATTAAGTGTTTCACATAGGTACACTAGATATATTTCTTTAAAAAATATATTGTGGAAAATTTCAGTAATAACTGGTGTAGAAAGAATAGTGTAACAATTGCCAGGCACCCATGACCTAACTTTGAAAATTATGGGCATTTAAAAAAATGCCATTTACTTGTTGAAGAAACCAGGTTCTTTAGATTTGGCTGATTGATTTACGGTATTTAACTTGTTCCTCTAGCCCTGGCATTTCTTATAAACTAGTTGTTAGGTGTAGAGGTTTGATTAGATTCAGGTTTGATTTTATTTTGGCAAGAATGCCTCACAGGTGCTGTGTTCTTTTATCTTACATCAGTCACATCAAAAGCACATAAAGTCTGATTATTCTGCTGTTAGTGACATTAAGATTGATGAATGGTTGCAGGTGTTGTCAATTCGTCACTTTTGAAGTTTCTTGGCAACATTTATTGAATAGTTTTAGCAGCCATTCTTAATGAGAATTGAAAGTATAAAGTTAATGCAGTTATTTTTTCATGCCACGTTGTTTCTTCTTCAATAATGAATCGAATCATACTAACAAATGAAGGAATTTCATTTAGTGATTAAGATCTTGACTAATGAACTTATATCCCAAGTAATTTGAAATTTAGGATGACTTGATTTAAATAAAATTTCTAGTCCTTGTGTTTTAGACAAATACTATTCCCTCATAAAAGTACAGACTTATTTAATCTAACATTGCTATTTTTAAAACAACTAGAATCCATCTGTATTAGATTCGTGGTTACCAAAGGTTCAAAGGTAGCCTCTTTACTATCAAACCGTCTAATATACCTCTCTTATTAAGCTATTATAAACACAGTCTGATTATTCTTTATTTCTTTCCCTTATTCTTCCTCCTCCATTCTTTATATGTTAGATGTTTTATTCTGTAATCTCTTATGTTTCCTTTGACTGCTTTTGTGAATAGTTGATTTTATTTTTTGCCTTTAGTTAGTATTTGGTTGGTCTGCTTTCTTTGCTGTGATTTTATTTTCTCTGGTGACATCTGTTTAGCCTTAGGAGTGCTTCCATCTACAGCAGTCCCTCTAAAATACCCTGTAGAGGTGGTTTGTGGAAGGCAGATTCCCTCAACTTTTGCTTTTCTGGGAATTGTTTAATCCCTCCTTTATATTTAAATGGTATTTGTGCTGGATACAGTATTCTTGGTTCGAGGCCCTTCTGTTTCATTGCATTAAATATATCATGCCATTCTCTTCTGGCCTGTAAGGTTTCTGCTGAAAAGTCTGATGTGATGCGTAGTATGCCGTATCCGCCTAGCTTAAGTAGTACGGCTGCAAGTACTATGGAGCCTGCAATAGGAGCCTCTATGTGGGCTTTTGGCAGTCAGAGGTGTAGTCCATATAGGGGATAGCCTGATGGGTTTTCATTTTTAGGTGATCTTTTTTCTCTCTCTGGCTGCCTTTATTACTCTGTCCTTGTTCTTTGATCTTTGCCATTTTAATTATTATATGTCTTGGTGTTGTCCTCCTTGGGTCCCTTGTGTTGGGAGATCTGTGGACTTCCATGGTCTGAGAGACTCTTTCCTCCCCCAGCTTTGGGAAGTTTTCAGCGATTATTTCTTTAAAGACACTTTCTATCCCTTTTACTCTCTCTTCTTCTTCTGGTATCCCTATAATGCGAATATTGTTCTGTTTGAATTGGTCACACAGTTTTCTTAATATTCTTTCTTTCCTGGAGATCCTTTTATCTGTCTCTGCCTCAGCTTCTCTGTATTCCTGTTCTCTGATTTCTATTCCATTAACAGTCTCTTGTACCTCATCCAGTCTGCTCTTAAGTCCTTCCAGAGATGGTTTCATTTCTGTAATCTACCTCCTGAATTCATCCCTTAGCTCTTGCATATTTCTCTGCAGGTCCATCAGCATGGTTATGACCTGTATTTTGAATTCTTTTTCAGGAAGATTGGTTATATTATTTTGAATTCTTTTTCAGGAAGATTGGTTATATCTATCTCCCCAGGCCCTCTCTCTTGGGTTGTCTGAGGGGTTCTTGACTAGACCAGATTCTTCTGCCTTTTCATGGCAATAGAGGTAGTTGTAGGCAGGTGGCGCGTGTGTCAGCTAGGAGAACAAAGTCCCTTCCTACTTGCTGGTTGCCATGCCCTTCTCTGCTGCCTGTGTCGGTTACTCGCAGACAGGGAGCTGCCTGTGGGATAATAATCTCCTGAGCTGCTGTGGGTGGGGCAGCCCTCCGGGTAGCCCAGAGCCCTGTGGGGAGTGGCAGGCGCGCTGGGTGTATTCTCTTGCGAGAACCGTGCCCCTTGTGTCTGCTCTGGCTCCTTCTGTCTGTGCTGGGCAGCTATGCGCCGGCACTAGCCTCTGGGTCTGTTGCAGTTAGCTGCGCGCTGGGAGGAGAGTGTGTGGTTGCTGTGGGTGGGGCCACTTTCTGGCTCCTCTGCTGCTGTGGTGGAGCAGTGCCAGCTGGGGTGAATGAATGGCAGACTGCTTACCACCGTGAGGGGCTTCGGGGCTGTGTTACCCCCCAGGGGGTTGGGCGTTTGAAGTTCCTCAGGATTCCAAGCCTTCTGGGCTGAGTGTGCCGGGACAATTCTGTCCAGCTGTTAAGCCGCTGCCCCTTTAAGACTTTAAGAAAGCACTTGCTTTTCTTTTGTCCCAGGGAGCTGGCTGTGGGGACCCGCTCGCGGATTTTACTTTTCCATTCCTCTAATGTCCAGTACACCATGCAATGTGTGTCTGTGCTCCCAGTGCAGATTACTAGGGCTGGTTTTTAGCAGTTCTGTGCTTCCACTCCCTCCCCGCTCTGACTCCTTTCCTCCCACCAGTGAGCTGGGGTGGGGGAAGTGCTTGGGTCACAGCTTTGTATCTTACCCTTTTCTGTGAGATGCTGAATTCTTGCAGATGTAGATGTAGCCTGGCTATTGTACTGTGTCTTCTGTTCTCTCTTTTAGGCATAGTTGTATTTGTTGTATTTTCAAAAATATATATGGTTTTGGGAGGTGATTTCCACTGCTCTACTCACACCGCCATCTTGAGCCTCTACCCTCTCCGTCTGTATTAGAATCAGAAGGAATTTCTTGCTTAAGATTGCATGTTTGACTTTAGAGTACTAGAAACTGTTATTTTGTAAGGTTACATAGTGGTTAGTTGTGAAAAGTCTTAAAGCAAAGCTAGGCAGTGATGGACTGGAAGCTCGAGGTGGTAGTTACCCTCTGTTGGGAGCAGGAGGATGGATTGATGAGAGGCACACGGGGCTGGAAAAATACTGGCAATATGCTTTTTCTTAGGCTGATACTCATTTTATTCTTATTCTTCAGTTTCGTATGTTTTATGTTTATGGTTTGTTTATAAACCGAGAAGAATAAATGGTCTCATTAACTAATAACTTGAAATATTTCTCAAATGAATCTTAAACATAAAATCTTTTCATCTTCACAAAAACATCATAAAACAAAATGATTTCTCTATTACAGGGTGAAAATGAAAGGGTCATCATATATCTAGTAGTCTGTTTTTAAAGTCATGACTTAAAAATTATATTTAACATTAGCCTGGCATTTTTAAGTAATTATGAAGGTGAGTGATTATAAGGCTCATGGTGGAGAACTGCAATGTGTTACATGTGTAGCTTTCCATTCCTAGCTGTAGACTGGCTTACTTGAGGATATCTGTTCACTGCTCATTGTGTGTCATTTTTGTGCCATTGATTCTTGGCCCTTAAGCAGTAGCAACCTCCTTATATTTTTTGTATATCAGATGAGTTTACATCAGTCTGTTGAATGTGTGGCCTAGAGATTGTGTCTGGGTTTCCATTGTAGGCATGGCGTTTTTGCTTAGATGCCCACAGACTGCTTTTTGGGGCAACTAAAGGATAGTGCTGGAGAAGCAAAAGCAATTCAATTTCATTGAATATTGCCATTGAGCCATGTGCATCTCAACAGACCAGATAGCAAGTTTATCTTGAATTGTTTGGGGTACTTGGTCAAAGACTTTAAATTTTATATTGAATAATGGGTTTAAAATAATATATTCTTTTTGAAACCTTTAGAAATAGATTCTAAATTTTGTATTCAATTATGTATTTTCTGATAATCTATTACTGTAATTGCTAAACCTCCCAATTTAAAATTTCTACCGTGGTTTTAGAAATCACTTTATAATTCTGGAAATATGTCTCTAATTATAATCCAGTTGTATGTAGAAGTGACATACATGTGGCAAGTATTTTTCATGATCCTGTTATACAGCATGATAGCTGAAATGATTTTTAAAATTTAAATGTAATTAAAATAACTAAACTCTCCCCTTCCATTAAAAAAAATGCTTTTCTCAAAAATTCTTGTAGGTAACAGAAATCCAAGACTGGAGTGCATCAAGCCCACATAGCGCAGCTTATGTTCTCTGGGATAATGGTGCTAAGAACCTTTACAGAGTTGGCTTTGAGGGCATGGTGAGTAATAAGAACCGTGAAAGGTGAAAATACTGGGTGGATGAAAAGAGGGAAATAATAGCCCATATTGTATTCTTTTATTTATTTTTCTTTTGTTGTTACCTTTTGCCAAAATATAGCTATCTGAATTATGAATATGCAATAGGAGGAAAATCTTTTAAAGTGAGAATTTAATAAACTGCATTTTTACAATGTATAAACTGTTTAATAGTAAATAAGATTTTGCCTTCAGTTAATTTTTGGGTAACTTACTATATGTTGATCATATAGAGTGGATCCCTTATGAATGTTAAGTTGGGTGTTTATTTACTAGAAGCTATCAAAAAGGTTTGGAATGATCTATAAGACTGCTTCTTGGCACGACAGAGAATAGTAGTATAATGAGGTTTTTATGGTATATTTGTATTCTGTGCTTTGGTAGATGGTAAAAGTGTAAATTACAAAAGTGTTAAAGTTAGAATTATTTTTAGGGAAATTTTTTTCCCCTGTATTTTAAAAGTGTAGTATTGATAGTTGAAAATTATTGGCTTAGAACCACATTAAATAAGAGCTTAGGAGAATGATGTTGGTTTAGTCAGTGGATTGCCCTATATGTCTGCATTTTGTGGATCATTGTTCACATGTTGACGTCAGCTATTTAATTTATATAGTATAATTAAATATTATATTAATGCCAGAATATTAATGTCTTATCTCCTTTCCTATCTTGAACACATTCCTTATTCAAAGAATTCTTTAAATTTAATTTTTTTCAGTTATTTTATGTCCCATGTTAAGAGGGGAAAAATGCCACACTGTCCATTTGCTTTAATGTATTCCATTTACAGATAAAAGCTAGCAATGTGAATCTAAACACTTTTCTTGCCAGTTTTTATAATTGACTATAGCAGGGGTTATCAGTCTTTCACTATTATCTTCCTGCCCCCCCTGTTTTTAAATTATAGAATTTTTTAGGATTTTGACTGGTTAGTAACTTGCTTCACATGAAGCCTTATGTGGTATATATGCATAAAGAGTAGTATATATATATATATAGATAGATTGAGCCCCTTTTTGATGGCTGAGTAGTACTCCTTTGTGTGGTTATGCCATGATTTCTTTAATGAGATTTCTGTTGATGATCTGAGTTGGTTTTTGTTTTTCATTGTTCCAAGCAGTGTCTAAGTAAGCATCCTTATGTGTATGTCCTTGCACATTTATAGGTGTATTTCCATAGGATAGATTCCTAGAAATGGAATTGTGAGGTTAAAGATCACATTACAACAATTTGACCCCTGTGTCTCTTTGGGTAGCATTGAACTAAATGTGATTCTCCAGTGGCAAAGTAAAAGAGAGTTGGGTCCTGTGTGTGTTTCTGTGTATATTGTGTGTCTGTGTATAAAGGATCTCCTCTCTTAATAGATCAGTATATACTGATTACCTACTGTATATATGTCAGGTGCTATTAGGCCCTTTTAAGTAAATCTGTAGATTTTCACAGAAACTCCCATGGTTGCTTTTCTAAGTTCACATTTTCTCTACTTTTCATTATACCACATCTGCCTCCCCACTCAGATTATTAAATAGTACATTTGTTTTCTTATAAAATTTGTTTTCTTTTTTCTTTTATTATATCATTGATATGTAATCCTATGAAGGTTTCACATGAACAACACTGTGGCTTCAACATTTGCCCATATTACCAAGTCCTCATGTGCCCCACCCGCCCCAACCAGAGTCACTGTCTGTCAGTGTAGTAAGATGCTATTGAGTCATTACTTGTCTTCTCCCAGCTGTACTGCCTTCCCCATGACCTATCTATATTGTGATTGCAAATTATAGTGCCCCTTAATCCTCTTCTCCCTCCCCACCCACCCTCCCCAAGCTCTTTTCTTTGGCAACCACTTGTCCTTTCTCAGAGTCAGTGAGTGCTACTTTATTCCTTCAGTTTTGCTTTGTTTTTATACTCCACAAATAATGAAATCATTCGGTGCTTGTCTTTCTCCTCCTGGCTTCATTGAGGTAACACTCTCTGGCTTCATCCACATTGTTACAGATGGTAGGATTTGTTTTCCTCTTATGGCTGAATAATATTTCACTGTGTACATGTACCACATCTTCTTTATCAATTCATCGATTAAGGGACACTTAGGTTATTTCCATATCTTGGCTGTTGTAAATAGTGCTGCGATAAACATAGGGGTGCATATGTCTCTTTGAATCTGGGATCTTGTTTTCTTTGGGTAAATTCCTAGGAGTGGAATTCCTGGGTCAAATGTTATTTCTGTTTTTAGTTTTTTGAGGAAATCCGTATTGTTTTCCACAATGGTTGAACTAATTTACATTCCCACAAACACTGTAGGAGGGTTCCCCTTCCTCCTCATCCTCGCCAGGCATTTGTTGTTTCTTGTTTTCTGGATGCTGGGCATCCTAACTGGTGTGAGGTGATATCTCATTGTAGTTTTAATTTGAATTTCTCTTATGATAAATGAGGTGGAGAATCTTTTCATGTGTCTGTTGGCCATTCGAATTTCTTCTTTGGAGAAGTGTCTGTTCAGATCCTCTGCCCATTTTTTAATTGGGTTATTTGCTTTTTGGTTGTTGAAGCATGTGAGTTCTTCATATATTTTGGATTCCAACCCCTTACCAGATAAGTCATTTATGAAAATATTCTCCCATACTGTAGGATGCCTTTTTGTTCTGCTGATAGTGTTCTTTTTAGTTTGATGAAGTCCCACTTGTTCATTTTTGGTTTTGTTTCCCTTGCCTGAGGAGATGTGTTCATGAAAAATTTGCTCATGTTTATATTCAAAATATTTTTGCCTATGTTTTCTTCTATGAGTATTATAGTTTCATGACTTACATTCAGGTCTTTTTTGTATATGGAGTTAGACAATAATCTCACTGTCTTACATGTAGCTGTCTAGTTTTGCCAACACCAGCTGTTGAAGAGGCTGTCATTTCCCCATTGTATATCCATGGCCCCTTTATTGTATATTAATTGGCCATATATGTGTGGGTTTATATCTGGGCTCTTTATTTGGTTCCATTGATCTACAGGTCTGTTTTTGTGCCAGTACCAAATTGTCTTGATTACTATAACTTTGTAGTAGAGCTCTCAGTTGCGGAGCATAATTCCCCCAACTTTATTCTTCCTTCTCAGAATTGCTTTGGCTATTTGGGGTCTTTTGTGGTTCCATATGAATTTTAGAACTATTGTTCTAGTTCATTGAAGAATGCTTTTGGTATTTTGATGGGGATTGCATTGAATCTGTAGATTGCTTTAGGCAGGATGGCCATTTTGACAATATTAAGTCTTCCTATCCATGAGCATGGGATGTATTTCCATTTATTGGTGTCTTCTTGAATTTCTCTCATGAGTGTCTTATAGTTTTCAGAGAATAGTTCTTTTACCTCTTTGGTTAGGTTTATTCCTAGGTATTTTATTCTTTTTGATGTACTTGTAAATGGAGTTGTTTTTCTGATTTCTCTTTCTGCTAATTCATTGTTAGTATATAGGAATGCAACAGATTTCTGTGTATTAATTTTGTATCCTGCAACTTTGCTGAATTCAGTTATTCTAATAGTTTCTTGGTGGAGTCTTTAGGGTTTTCTATGTATAGTGTCATCTGCAAACAGTGAGAGTTTAACTTCCTCCTTACTAATCTGGATGCATTTTATTTATTTGTACTGTCTGATTGCTGTGGCTGGGACCTCCAGTACTATATTAAGTAAAAGTGGGGAGAGTGGACATCCTTGTCTTATTCCCAATCTTAAAGGAAAAGCTTTAAGCTTTTCACTGTTAAGTATGATGTTGGCTGTGGGTTTGTTGTATTTGGCCTTTATTATGTTGAGGTACTTGCCCTCTATACCCATTTTGTTGAGTGTTATTATCGTGAATAGGTGTTGAATTTTGTCAAATGCTTTTTCAGCATCTATGGAGATAATCCCATGGTTTTTGTCCTTTTTGTTGATGTGTATGATGTTGATTGATTTTCAAATATTGTACCATCCTTGCATCCTGGGATATATCTGACTTGGTCATGGTGAATGATCTTTTTGATGTATTTTTGAATTTGGTTTGGTAATATTTTGTTGAGTATTTTTGCATCTGTGTTCATCAGGGATATTGGTCTGTAGTTTTCTTTTTTTGTGGTGTCTTTGCCTGGTTTTGGTATTAGAGTGATGCTGGTCTCATAGAATGAGTTTGCAAGTATTCTGTCCTCTTCTACTTTTTGGAACTTTAAGGAGGATGGGTATTAGCTCTTCTCTAATATTTTGATAAAATTCAGTGGTGAAGCCATCTGGTCCAGTGTTTTTGTTCTTAGGTAGTTTTTTAAATTATAATTTCGATTTCATTTATGGTAGTTGGTCAATTCAGATTATCTGTTTCTTCCTTGGTCAACCTTGGAGGGTTGTCCATTTCTTCTAGGTTGTTCAGTTTGTTGGCATATGATTTTTCATAGTACTCTCTAATAATTCTTTAAATTTCTGTAGTATCTGCAGTGGTGGGGACACAGGTGAGTGGGACCAGTGCCTACCAGGAGGAAAGAGCCCCGGGAGCTGGGCTGTGAACGTAGCTCCCCAGCTGGCCCAAAATAGGGCCTAGCAGGCTGGGTGTTCCACCTGTTTACCTGGGAGTAAAGTTTGGTTTCACTGCCGGCTGGCAGAACTCAGGCCTGTCAGGAATCTCCCGGCTGTGTTGCCAGTGAGGGGGATGGAGCCTCTGAAGCTTCTGAGGGCTCCCAACCTGTTGGGCTGAGGGCAGGCTGGCAATTTGTTGTCCCCCTGACCTTCCTCCTAAACAGAGAGCATAGTGCAATACTTGCCCATCTGGCACCCCTCTCACTCTGGGAAGTCTTTCAACCTGCCTGCTCTGTTTTCTTTCTCAGGAGGGCCTATAGAGCTTGCCTATTCTCCACAGGTGGCTGGGATCTCAGTGTCCCTGAGTGTTCTGCCCATGTCTGTTGTCCAACCCCACCAATTACCAGGGCACTGTGGAATGTGGGCTCATGTTCCCAGAGTAGATCTCCAGGGCCATGTGTTCAGGGTCCTGGGCTTCTGCTCCCTCCACAATCCATTTCTCTTCCTCCCGCCTGTGGGCTAGGGTTGGGGGAGGGCTTCAGTCCCACCAGATCAGGGCTTTGTCACTTACCCTTTTCTGTAGGATCTTCTCTTCTTCTCCACATGTAGGCGGTCAGTTCTGCAGTCTTTAGGTTAATTTCAGGCCTAGCTGTATTTGCTGTATTTTCATGTTCCATGTGATTTTGGGAGGTGGCTTTTACCTTACATTCCTACAGTGCCATCTTTTTTTTCCTACCCTCAACACAGTTTTTATATGTTGAGGTCCTTTTTTTTAAAGCATGTGTTTTTGAAAATATTATAATTGTAAAGATCTGAGCATTGTAATTTTGAACTTAAAAGACAAGGTAAAGTAAATAAAGTGTGACCTCCTGAAAATCAGGTTTATAAAATTTAATGGATGCTTTTAAAGCAGTGTTCAGTGTGACTGTTAACCCAGAGCTACTCTTGACTTCTGCTTTTCAATGAATGAACATTTTTGCCTGTTTTAGGTATTGAGCTATACTTGAAGTTTTCAAGAGTGATTTTTCTTCTTTTCTTAGTCTGATCTAAAGTGTGTCCAGGATGCCAAAGGAGGTTCTTTTTACAGAGATCATTGTCCTGTGCTAGGTGAGTTAGCAAACTAGAGAAAATTAGTAAAAATCTGAAAAATGTTTAAAATTAAGTTTAAAAAATTAGTTACTGTTAAAGTTACTTAAAGAGATATCTTCTTGATTGTAGTTTGTTTTTAAAGTATTTGTTCTTTTTTTAAAGACTTAGACTTTGAAAGAGTTGTCATGTCTTAAGAATCGTTATGCCATTTATATATCATAATATATTAAAAGCTTTTGTCTTTTAGTCATAAACTTATATTGGTGAAAAATTTTGTTATTAGATTGTCACTGTTATATCTCTGTTGCTATTGATAATAGGTTCTGACAATTTATGCTTTTTAAATTCCTTGGAATTTCTGTAAAATGACCTTACTACAAGAATAGCTCAAAGACTAAGGTAATATAATAAGTATAATTTAATGTATCAAAGATGAAGAACACTGAACTGCCTTCATTTTATAGATTCTTTATTGTTGCCAAAGTGAACATTCTTCTGAGAAACTCTTTGGTCTCTGTAGGCATTCTTTCTTAATGTGAACCCTGTGTTCCTCTTTCTGAGTCATTGGGCTTGCCTTTTTGCCAAAAAGTGCTGTTTTCTTCCAGTATACCTTAATTTATTTTTAAAAAAGGGAGAAAGTGTAAGAAATTATTAATGTTTTTGATGAGATCATCCATTTCTCTTGCTTTCAGAAATTTTCTTGGTCTGTGTCTTGCCTTCACAAGAAGTGCGGAATCAACATACACATTTTAGGTCTCTCAACATAGTGTTTTATTGTTGACATAAATAATTATTCCTGGAGTAGCTTTGAAAATAACTGGACTTTGAAATATTTAAAAATACTTAATAGGCAAAATTTACAGCAATGATTTGCTAAAAAGTAGTGCTAATAAGCACTTCTGAGAAAAATTTAATTCCAGGGTTTGCCTTCATATTCTCTAGCGTCGGTAACCCTCTAATTGTTGTTTTTGCAGTGATAGTCAACAAGTCATCCAGGTAGAAAAGTGATACTTTTAATACCTAGAACTTTGTGCTTTGATAGAGGATTGCGTAGTCTTTTGTAGATTCTACTCCTGTTCAGTTGTTGTTACAAATCATCATATTATTTCAGTTTTTGAGCTTGATGTCTATTTTCTTTATTTTTTTTAAAGCTCTCTAGTTTTAGAATCTTACAGCATATTCTCAAAACATTTTTAATGGTAATTAAAACTAAAATACATAGAGCTTGTTCTTGTTTAAAACTGCATTTGCATGTTGCTGTGATTATCCTTTTCGTCTGTCAACAGGTGAGCAGAATGGCAACAGGAATCCGGGTGGACTGCAGATTGGTGACCTGGTAAATATAGATCTTGACCTAGAAATTGTACAGTCTTTGCAGCACGGTCATGGAGGATGGACTGATGGCATGTTTGAGACTTTAACTACTACTGGAACTGTTTGTGGCATTGATGAAGATCATGACATTGTAGTACAATATCCAAGTGGCAATAGGTTGGTGATATTTATTATTTTTCATTAGTGGCAAATAAAGTTAGTGTGTAGAAGAAAGAGCCTTAAAGAAAGCAAATAATCTGATGTAACCAGTGACTCCTTAAAGCAAGCTCTAAGATCATAGATAAAAATCCAGAATATGTTGATAAGGTGGAAAGAAACATGGTAAGAGTGTGTGTGTGTATTGTGTGTATGTGAATTTTTATATAAATATATTTGTGATCCAGTGTTCTCTTTTTCCCTTTAGGGAGCAGAATTACTTCAGCGGTGGTTCCAAATATAGCTAAAAAGTTCTGTGTTCATAATGGACCATATCAATCTGGCCCATATCTCCAGGGTCATCTTTTGGTAACATACCTTTCCCACAGATAGCTACACACAAATTCTTATCAGCAAAATACAATTGCATGCATTTCCTCACTCTGTACCTTTGTGTACATACAACTCTGTCCATGAAGAATACCTTTCCTTCTTTTCTCTCCCTTTTCCTCTGGATCAAACTCCTGCATTGTATAAATATTGAGCTTATATATCCTTTGGGAATTTCTGCTCCTTTTTTTACCCTCCCTGGAATAGGCATAGGCTATTCATCTGTTTAGTCTCCTTTTATCTATTAAAGTGGTTATTTATTTTTATATCTAGGCTGCAAGTTTCTTGGAGATTGGGCTGTTACTTATTTGTCCCTAAGAACCATAATATATCCAGTTTGCTACTATGTTTACAATTTTTAAAAAAAAGCAGTCATTAAATAAAATATTTGTCAAAGCTTTATCACTGACATATGCGTAAAGAGACTCTTTGAGGTTCTTTAAGGGAGGGATTTTATGTAGAAAAAGAAAAAAATTAACATTAAGTTGCTTACCAAAGTATAGAATTACCTCTAACTGCATTAAAATCATAAGGATTTGATACACGTGATCATATCCAGAGATGCAGAAAAAGCAGTTTGACAAAATCCACCCTTTTGTGATAAAAACACTAAATAAGCAAGGAGCTGAAGGGAAGTTCTTCATTTTAATAAAGGGCATCTGTTAAAAACCCAAAGCTAACATCATTTTCAATGAGAAGAATGAATACCTTTCCTCTAAGATCAGGAATAAAACATGAATGAATGTCTTCTCTCCCCACTTCTATTCAGCATGGTCCTAGAGGGTCTAGCTAGGGCACTTAGGCAAGATAAAGATAGAATGAAGAAGTAAGAGAAAGGGAGAAGTCCACCCATCTCTATTCACAGGTGACATGGTCTCGTGTATAGAAAAACCTTAAGAATCCCACTTAAAAACTGGTAGAACTAATAAGTGCAGCAAAATTGCCAGATACAAGATCAATATAGAAAAATCAATTGTATTTCTGTATATTACCAATGAACAATCTGAAAATGAAAATCAGAACAATTCCATTTACAGTTGCATTACAAAGAATAAATGCTTAAGAGTAAATTGCCCAAAAATGCAAGATTTGTACACTAAAAACTATAAAACATTGTTGAAGGAAATTAAAGAAGGACTAAATAAGTGGAAAGACATCTAATGTTTATGGATCAGGAGATTTAATATTGTGTAGGTGGCGTATTACTTTCCTAGAGTTGCCATAACAAATTACCACAAACTGGGTTGCTTAAAACAACAGAAATTTATTCTTTCACAATTCTTGATACTAGTAGTCCAAAGTCAAGGTGTTGGTAAGATTGGTTCCTTTTGGAGGCCCTTAGGCTGAATCTGTTCGATGCCTGTCTCCTAGCTCCAACACAAATCCTTGGTGTTCATTGCTTGTAGATACATTACTCATTTCTCCTCCTCTGTCTTCACATTGCCTTCTATCCTGTAAAATTGTGTGTCCCTGTGTCTTCTCATGAACCTCCATTGTTTTTTTTCTGGGTACAGATTTTGTTTTCAAATGCATTCAAATCATTCTCTCATTACAATCAAATTCAGAGAGTTATAAGGAGATTATTTGAGACTGAGAGCCACATATTGCTCTGGTGCACTATTTTATTTTCGTCAAGACAACATTTGTAGCTTCACCATCCAGGAGGAAAGAATACCAAGGAAATACAGAAGGAAGTTAATTGAGCTCATGGAAATTCTAAAATCTTTAACATAGAAGATGATCAAAAGCTGATTTCACATAACCTTTTTATAAAGACACTGGTCATTGCTGGAGTCCAGCTCCAGCTGAGGTGTGGGTCACGAAGGAAAGGACAGCGTCGGTGAGTGAGGAGACGAAACACCCAATCAAGGTTGTAACATCTCCTCACTCGCCAATGCTGTCCTTTGCGACCCACACCTCGGCTGGAGCCGGAGTCCAGCTCCAGCTTGGCGGGGGTGGGGGTGGGGGTGAAGCGCAAAAGGATGAGATGGAGTTGGTGCATGGCGAGACCACCTCCTTCTGACTCTGTGTCCTGTCTCTCCATAAAGCTACAGTTTTCAGAACAGTGTATTGCTCACATAAGTATAGACATTAAGATTAAATAGAAATCAAAGTCCAGGAATAAGCCCTTGTATTTAAGGTCAGTTGATTGTTGACAAGGGTCCTACACAGTTCATTGGAGATATTTTCAACAAAAATGGTGTTGACAGAATATACAAATACTAAATCATTATGTTGTATTCCTCAAATAAATATGCTGTATGCCAATTATACCTCCATTTAGTAGATAAAGCTACTATTAAAATAAAACAAAACAAATAGTGCTGAGTCAACTGGATATCAACATGCAAAAGAATGAAACACACCATATACAAATATTAAGTCAAAATGGATCACAGACCTAAATATAAGACCTAAAGCTATAAAACTCTTAAAATAATAAAACATAGGTGTCAATCTCTGTGATGTTGGATTAGAGGGTAGGTTTTTAGATATGACCCCCTACCCCTACCCCAAGCAGAAACAACCAAAGAAAAAGTGAGTAAATCAGGCTTCATAAAAATTAAAAACTTTGATGTTTCAATGGAAAAATATCAAAGTGAAAAAACCATGCAATGGGAGAAAATATTTGCGAATTATATGCTGATTAGGGACTTGTATCTGGAATATATAAAGAACTTTTACAATTCAACAATAAAAGACAAGTTGAAAAATAGGCATAGGATTTGAATATATATTTTTCCAAATGAGATAATAGTGATGGCCAATTATAATGCTCATTGTATTAGTATTCTAGGGCCACCGTAACAAAATACAAAGAGTAGGTGGCTTAAACAATAGAAATTAATTTTCTTCAAGTTCTGGGGGCTGGATGTCCAAGATCAGGGTGTCATCAAGGTTGGCTTCTGGTGAGACCTGTTCCTGGTTTATTGACATCTGCCTTCTCACTATGTCCTCACATGGCCTTTCTCTTTTATATGCTCAGAAAATGATAGACATCTCCCATGTCTCTTCCTCTTCTTGGGAGGATACCAATCCTGTCAGCATGTAGTGCTCTACTTTTATGACCTCATTTAACCTTAATTACCTCTTTAAAGGTCCTCTAAATTCTGTCATGGTAGGAGAACTTAAGGGAATTTTGGAGGAACACAACACCATGGAAAGATGTTCAATGTTATTAGGGAAATACAATTCAAAACTACAATAGATACCACTTCACATATTAGAATGTGAAGGCTAGAGTAAGTCAGATAATTATGAGTGTTGATGAGGATGTGGAGAAATTAGAAGTGAACCCTCATACACTGATAGTAGGAGTGTGAAGTGGTTTAGATACTTTGGAAAACAGTGTGGTCGTTTCTTAAAATGTTAAAAGGTAGAGGTACCATATGATCCAGCAGGCCCACACCTAGGTTTATATCCAGGAGAATAGAGAACATGTGTGTATCCAAAAACATGTACTTGAATTTTTATAGAGTCAGTGTTCATGATATCCAAGACATGAAAATAACCCAAATGTTTATCAGCTGGTGAACAGATAGATAAAAAATGTGATCTGTCCATACAATGGAATATTATTTGGCCATAAAAAGGAATGAAGTACTGACATAAGTTGCAACATAGATACATCTTGAAAACATGTTGTTTGAAAGAAGACATTCACAAAAGATAACATATGTGGTTTTATTTATATAAAATGTCCAGAATAAGTAAATCCATAAGAACAGAAAGTATATTACTTGTTAGAGGCTGGGGACAGGGGTGAATGTGGAGTGACTGTGAATTGTTTTGTGGTATCTTCCTGTGAGGATGAAAATGAACTTGGGTGGTGGTGTTTTGTTGTCAGTGCTGAATGTACTAAAACCACTGAATTACACAGTTTAAATGAGCAAATTGTATGGTATGGGAATTACATCTCAGTAAACTTTGTGAAGGAAACAACACAAAGTTCAGGTTAGCACACTGTGTTACATATTGTTTGGGAATGTTAGGCTAACACAAATCGGGATTATTACTTGGAGAAATCTTCCTTGGTCAGAATTCTTTCTTGGACAGTGGTGTTCTCAGTAGTGATATTTCAATTATAGAAAATAACCTCTTTTTTTGTTCCTTATTTACTCAACAAAAATTTATTAAGTCTTATCTTGTATTAGGCCCTGTGACTAGTGCTAGGATTACAAAGACAAGTAAGACATGGTCCCCTGCTTTGAAGGGGTTTCCCTTTTTGTTTGAAGAGACAAAATTGGATAAAACTGCATTAAAATGTTGTAAATAATTACAGTAGTTGAATATTCTGTGTATTTTGAAGATATAAAAGAAGAATGGTTATTTCAGGTGGGTACATTTTAGCTTGGTAAGTTTTCAGAGAAAACTTCAGGGAGAAAATTACATTTGGAGTAAGTTTGGAAGATCGACTTGATTTTCACCAGGGCAGGGGAGCTTTACAGGCAAAGGGAACAACTTCAATAAAAACTTCCAGGTTCAGGCATTACAACAGGCCTAGTAAGTTTTAGAATATTGGAAGTGAGATAAAGGGCACCACTGTCATTGCTAAGGCTAAAAAGAAAACTTCATGTATTTGATTTTTATTCTTAATAGGTTAGAGGCACTTCTTTTCTCTTTGTGGTTACATCAAAAAGAAAAGTTTACTTACGTGGTTACAGGCATTTAGTAACAGGTTTTATATGTTGTGACCTCTCAGAATCCTTTATATGATAATAACCATTTGAATTAAAGAGAGGATATAATATATAACATATTATAACCATTTTAATTAAAGAGGAGAATATAATATAAAACAACATCTGATAAGTTGTAAAAGCTTATTTGAATAGGGAACGTTTTTTCCTTGTAGCCCCACATGGGACTAGGGAATAGGGAAAATGTTGTGTTACACATTTGGTCCATCTATTTGATGGACTATTAAGTAGTCAATAACATAATGGTTATGAAGGGAGTAGCAGCATAGAAAACTGCTTATATATAAGAAAGAAGAAATCAGAATCTTAATTTGTTTTGGTACAGTGCTTACCATCATGTAAAGTGCCCATGCATGACAAAACTAGATACTATTTTTATCCATGATATTGGTGTACTCTTGTTAAAAAAAAAAAATAGCACACACTTTGTGGAGCAGTTTGGTTCTAACAGAGTTGTAAAAAATATATGCTTGAATAGGTAGTTTTTTAAAGAGTCACTAATAAAATACTGACCTTGTGTGTATACAAAGATGTACTTACAGGGATGTACAAAATGAAAGTGCTTAAATGATCACCAGTAGGAGAGTGGTTAAGAATATTGCTGTATATCCATACTGTGGAATACTCTGTGGCCATTAAATGGAAATAAGTAGATTTATATCTGTGACATTGAGAAATAAAATTTTAAAGATGCATTGTTTGAGGAAAAAAGTCACAAATTTTATATATGTGTATGTTTATGTATATATAACATGTATGTGTGTGTGTTTATATATGTATGTACTTTCCATTTATGGAGAACAACTCTTTCTACATTTATAAATATCAGCATACTGATAGAAAATCTGCAGGGATACACAGAGTTGTTAGCAGTGGTTTCTAGTGGAGTGGGGAATGGTGATTCAGGTGTGTTTGTGTGAAATGGAGATTTCACTTTCACTTTACATGTTTCTGAAAGGTTTCCTAGTATTTAGCAGTGAGTTTGTATTACTTCTGTAACTGTTTTTGAAAACGTGCAAGGAAGAATACATCTAAACAGAAGTATATCACTAGGTTGGTGAGATTATGGATACCTCCCCAAATTTGTGTAATAAAATTATAAAAAGAAATATAAACTATTCAGCGTGTAATTGCAAAGGATACTTTACTCTTTTGATGTGTTATAAGGTTTTTCTCCCTGTAATATTTAAGAATGTTGCATTAAAATTAAGTAAACTTACTTATTTTGAGTTTTGGCTTTGATCTTTAGGTGGACCTTTAATCCTGCAGTTCTCACTAAAGCAAACACTGTCCGAAGTGGGGAAGCTGCTCAAGGTGCAGAAGGAGGCACCTCACAGTTTCAAGTGGGTGATCTAGTACAAGTTTGTTATGATCTGGAAAGAATTAAACTTCTACAAAGAGGACATGGAGAATGGGCTGAAGCTATGCTCCCAGTAAGTATATATGAAATAGTTTTGGACTAGGAATTATAGTTTGCTTATGTAGTTTTTAGAAGTACTTTACTTTCAGAGACTAAATTAGCATATCCCTTCCAGAATTGTACTCTTCATTGGCAGCTAAGCATATGTCATGCCTTTTTATTTTCTAATTTATACTAGTTCAGTTAGTTTGGGAAGGTCCAAAAAAGACTACAGTTAATAGTTTCTTGATAGAGCTATTAGTGAAGAGCAACATAGGTGTAAAGCAACAGACGCTGAATCCAGAGTGAGCGATAGTCGCTCATCTGATTGCTCACTGTGCTGGACCACTGCTGCTGTCCTCACTGGGGGGCCTGCCTCCCTAAAACTTAGAGTGTCACTGGAATGGGTGCCTTCTGTGGTGGCTCTTGAAGAGCCACAGTTTACTTTTTTATTTATTCAGTTCAATACATTTTTCATCAACTGTCCAGCAGCAACCAAAAAATTTGTTCTGTTCTCTTTTCACCCATCCTTCTTTTTCTTTATCTGCCCTTCGCTTCTGTCTTTCTGTTCCCTTCTGTCTTTCACCTGCTGACTGCCCCATGATGTATATCCTGTTTCATTCTACCCTGCAATGTTCTTTTGTTGAGCCTTCTACTGTCCCTGTTCCTCATTCTTGTCTCATTCTATCCCACATCCTGTCCTGTCCCCCAAGTCCCATCCCATTCAGTACCTCATCCCTAGCCCATCTGCCCTCCCATCCCCCATGTAGCCCAGTTCCCCTGCCTAGCTAGCACGTCCTCTTCTTGTCCAGCTCCACTTCCACCCATGTAACCCTCTGCCATCTCCCATCTTGTCTAGTCCCACCTCCCTGTCCTTCATGTTGTCTTGTTCCTCCATCAGTCTATCTTCCTTTCTGCCATATCCTGCAGTGGGTATTTTAGCACAGTGTGGCTGTTAGGCTTTGTGAACGAAACAAAACAAAACAAAACAAAACAAATTTCTGTTACTATGGTGCTTTCAAAGACCTTTGATAGTTTGCAGAAGCTGCTGACCTTTTTATTGCTTTAGATGCTGAATAAGGGAGAGTTGTATGTTTTTCAGGAGCTGTATGTATACTGTTTTTGTGAAAAAATTAAATTCTATATAATCCCTTTTTGTTTTCTTTGCTTTTAGAATTAAAGTTGGCTAGAAAGGTATTACAAACTTCAAGCCTTACTCCAATGTAGTAATGTTGTGTTACTTAAAAATTTGACATGTTTTGTAGGAGCTGTATATACTATTCTAAGATTTTTTTACAGTCAAGATGTTTTTGTTTTTCCCCTTAGCAATGACATTATAGCAGCTTCTTTTGAGTGAGTGCCCAGTTACTGTGTTAAATGATGTGTATGTTCATGTGTGCACACACATGTATATATGTGTATACACATGTATGTACCCACACAAACTTTATTAGTCTTATGAATATTATAAATAGGTGGTGGTATGGGCATTCTTATTTTAAAGATGAGGAGATCAGAGCTGAAATTCTGAACTGGAATTTGAACCCAGATCTGCTTCACTTCAAAGCCTAAGTACTCTCTGTCTCCCATATTAAACTGTTGTATAAGCAAAGCCTCTAGGTAATTTCTGGAGGGGAATTCTTGGATTCCAGTAAGTGGTGGTGTAGATTTTGAATCTTCTTATAAAAACCATCAACAACTAGATTAACATAACAAAAAACCCCATAGATATCTGTAGCAAAGCCAGGTGACAGTAGCCTGTTAAGCCCTAACATATGAATAGAGAGAAACTGCTGACAGCTACCTAGGTCTGCCTCTGTCTGTATGGCAGCAGAGAATTAATTGGGAATGGCATGGGCTTGAGAAAGTGGACTCCAAACTAGCTCACAAGTGTTCTGTTCATTGACTGCTGTGGTAGACTGATGTAATGAGCAATACGTGGGAGAGCTTCCACAGGTTCCAGTTTGGGGTGAGAGCAGTAGGTCCATGCTAAAGTTTGAAGGGACTGGATCAGCCTCAGTCTATAAACTCTCAAAACAGACAAGCCAAACTTCCTAACAGGGCAGAGCCCTTCATCCAGGAGAAAGTGCTGGGTATTTGAAACCAAGTTTAGAGATAAAAGAATGAGTTGGTCCAGGTAAAAGTTTGAAGAGATCATGGTTGAATCCCCATACACAGTTGTTACTGAAAAAAGAGATTAATGAATAGCATTAACTTCTCTGCAGACAAATGAAAGTATGCCAGAAGGATGTGCACAGAAAACTAAAATCATAATTCAAAATGAGCCAAAGGAAAATCAGAAAATGATAAAAGATGGAAAGAATGAGATAAATCATAATTAGAAATGAGGTGGTAGAATTTAAGAAAGAATTGATAAGAAAGATAACTTCAGAAATGAAGAGTAAGCTAGAAGCAACATGGAGTAATACAACAGATCATGCCTTAAGAGAAATACAAGGTAAAAAGAAAAAAGAATTAAAAAGATAAAGAGTATATCAGAGAAAGTGATAAATATAGAATATCTAATATATGTATAATAGTAGTCCCTGCAAAAAAGGAAAAATAGAAACCAAAACTTTGGAATATAAGAAATTCTAAAATCTGCAATTTCAGAAAATTTTCCCCAAATTAAAAGATATGAAACTAAATATTAAAAGGGTGCATTGCCTGCTTAGGAAAACTGACTCGTAACACCAAACACCCAGCCATAGTCTGTTAAAATAACTGAATCTTCAAAAAAGAAAAAAAATTCTTTGGGCATCTATCAAAAAGACCAAGTTAGTTATAAAGGAAAGAAAGTCAGATTGCTGTTAATATAAAATCTTAGTGTTTTATGCCAGAAAACAATGAAATAACATTTATTTAAGGTACTCAAGGAAATAAAATGTAAGCCAAGGATTGCATATGTAACAAAACTTTCAAGTGTAAAGGCTACGAACTGCTATGAACATGTAAGATTTCAGAGAATCTTGTTCCTATGAACCTTTTCTGAGTAGTCTATTAGAGAGTGTTTCAGACCACGAAAATGACTGGAGAGACATGTACTGAAGGAGTGATGATGATCGTTAAATATATATTTACTTGTTGAACTAAGATTAAATAATGGTCATAAAGGAAAGGTTATAATGGTTATATGCTTTAACAACATGATAAAGCACAACTGTCAAAAAACGGTGGGGATACAGCACATGGGAAGCTTAATGAGCTGTTTAATTGCCTTTCAGTTTTAAGTGAAACTAAATACTATGTAAGTCAAAATATTAAAGGAGTAAGGGATAAGGGGAAGAACATTTGAGTGACTACTTTCAATACTTTGCATACACTAGGGAACCAATACATTATTTTTTTTTAAAGAGGGAATAAGGATGTGTTGGTGTGTGTGTGTGTGTGTGTGTGTGTGTGTATCATGTATGTATATATACTCACGCATACTTAGAAATAAAAATAAAGGTATTAGTGTAGACATATAGGAACAAAGGCAGAGGGAGATGTCTTCGAATATGTCTTGTTTTATAAATCTGCTTTGAAACCATATTCATATTTATACAATTATAAAGCAAAAATAAATTTAAAAAGATTTTTTAAAGTGGAAAGTAAATTGAAATAAGTGAGTTTAAACTGTGTTTCCTATTAGTGTAAACATATGGAGAGGAAATTACAAGTAATTTTTAAACACAGTAATTTGTTGTCATATCCTTACAGGAGGAATGTACCCAAAAGAACTACATAGAAAAAGAAAATTTAACAATTTTAAGAAATCTACTGTTTGTAATAGTGTTGATAGTGTTGTTCTGCGATTGTTGTATATGTTGTATATGTAATATGACAAAAAAACCAAATGAATAGTTACATGGTAATTCTGCATCTGTTATTCCCAGTGATCTTAAGAACTAGAATGTTCAAAGTGGGAAAAGAAGTGGATGTAATACAGAAGAGGTTAAGTAAAAACCCTATAGTCTTGAATTCTAATTGAAAGAGCGTTGGAACCAGTAGACAATTTTTTTTTAACTCATGATTTATTTTATTTTTAAAAATAACCTCTTTCTCCCTATTTCCTAACTCTGTTTATGAAAAGGCCTGGGAACAGTGACCATTCCAGTAACAATAACCAACTTTAGTGCTCAGATTATGGTTTTGAAATAGCCTTTTCCTCTGTAAAGAACCAGGGCTCTTTAGAGAAATGGCTAATTCTGACTCTTTGGCAGGAAGTGAGCAAGATGAGCCTCACACCGGATAGCAAGGAACTGATCAAAGATTCTAGATCATGTTGAAAGGATTTAGCAGCCAATTTGAAGGGTTTCTTACAAATACAGAGACAGATGAAGCTATTATACTATACCAATTATCAAAATTCGAATTGTAAGAAACTGTATAGGACAAACAACCCTATTTATACAACAAATAATTTGTAAAGAAAAAATGCATAGACCTTATTTGGAGCTTGGTTTAAACTAAAGTTTATCATTTTGTGGGGCAATTAGAAATTTGAACATTGGTATTTTATGATATTAAAGAGTTATTGATGATTTTAGGTGGGTTGGTATTAGTATTATAGATATGTTTGAAAAAAGAGTTTACATGATGAACTAAAACAAGAGGGGAGAAAGAACAGGCAGGGGAAAACAAGACTGACCATGGACTGATAAACACTAAAACTGGTTGATGGGTATATGAGGATTCAATATACTGTTGTCCACTTTTGTATGCTTGAGATTTTCCATAATGAACATTTAAAGGAGAAAAAACCAAAAGGAATTAAAGCTCATAGACTTTGAGATAATGGTGGAAAATTCCAAGTGAAAATGTGTAATGAGAAGTTAAAATTGTTGGGGGGTGGGGAGAAGGATAAACAGGGATAGAGAAATATATTTTGGAGTCTTTCGAAATAAGATGATAATTGTCAAAATCGGTTAAATTTTTAAGAAAGAAGACTAAAAAAGTTAAGTAAAATTGGAGGAGAATGAACACATTTAGGAATTTGAAGAAGGATGATGAGCCAGTGAGTGGAGAAAGGGAAGGAATAGGCAGAAATATTTGACTATTTGGAAATCAAGGGAATATTTTCAGGAAGTTGAGGTCAAATGCTGTGGAGAGGCCAAAGGTCAAGAAGAATCTCAGTCAAGAACAGTCTCTCCTCTGTGTTAGGAACTAGTCAGAGAATATCACTATTCTTAACTAGTCTTCTAGTATTATTTGCTGTTCTGTTGTGCTTAAGACAGTGGGTTTTAGACCCGAGTTTGGAATGGGACAAATTATAGCACTTAACTTTCTGGGTTACATGTATTAGGTGAGTCAGTACATAGAAAGCTCTAGAACAGTATCTGCTACATGATCAGAGCTGCTTCTGACTGTATTTTACACCTGCCTGCCCTTCTTTTCCCATATATTTAATAAGCATTTTATTTCTGTATACTTCTGTTTGGAATCAGCAGTGATTTCAAAAAGGATTTAAACATAGATGTAAGTTTTGAACCCTTTTTGGTTTAAGTAGTTTCTTTTAGAAATCAGATTTTATTTTTATTAAATTGATGATGGATTTTGGATTCCTTGATTTATGTATTCTCAAGGTGTATCTTAGGGGTTAAAAAAGAAGTGTTGAATATAATAAAAAAGCAGTATGTTGTGAATTTTTATGAATAAGACTGTCATGATTTTTGTTCTTACATTCTTTTGGAAGTATAGTAATTTTGTTAGAATAGTTTTTAAAGGTTCTCTTTAAAGTTTGTAATTAATAAATAACCCACTTAAATATGTTTATCCTTAGAAAGTTTTTTAAATAGGAATGAAGTAAAATTAATACTTCAAACATATAAAAATTGGCAATTGATTTTTATGGTATTACATACTTTAGACTTGGAAAGACAAATCTAATTTTTTTTTAAAGACTTTAGGTAAAGTTGGCCGAGTACAACAGATTTATTCAGACAGTGACTTAAAGGTGGAAGTTTGTGGAACATCTTGGACATATAATCCAGCTGCAGTTTCCAAGGTGGCATCTGCAGGATCAGCCATTAGCAATGCATCTGGTGGTATGTTTCATATTATTTCTTTAAAAGTAATATGGTTTACATTTATAACCTTTGTTAATTCCCCAGTTCTCACATATGGAAAATGTATGAGTTCTTGTTTTTTTCCCAGATCACATAACGTCACTTGAATGTTAACTACCTTTTATTGTCATGAAAGTTTTTATTTATTTTTTCCTTTTTTCACATGATGAACAACCTTTGTTCTGGTTGTAGTATGGCTCTGGAAAAACTCTACAAATATGTGCTTTTTCTTGGGTATATTAACGCTCTTCCACATTAAGTCTAAGATACATGAAATTCAACATTCTACTCTTTAGGCAGAACTTTTGTTTTCTGCCGAAGAACCATCATTTTCTTAGATTGCTGTTTTTTTTTTTTTCTTTCCAACGTTATTGCTAGCATATGGCTTTTTTGCCAGATACTTTTACATATCAGCCATATTTTTTCTCTCTTATATCATGCCACAATGAGAGGAAAACCATTTTGAGATGTGAGTATGCTGGATAATTAAGTAGTAGTACTGGGTGGTTTCTCTACTGATTAATGCCATTTAGAAAAAAATATCTTACACATCTCTAGTTCTTTTTTTTTTTTTTTTCAGTCAAAACTAATCAGTTGGCATTGTTGAAGTATGTTAACACTTAGATGTTCATTTTCCACTGCAAATTGATTTGTCCCTAAAATATTCCCCCAGATAGTATAGAGATGATAATGCTTTTGAATCATACTCTTTGCTCTGTTTACTTATGCTAAGGTCTGTAGCATTGAGCCCAGAGAGTCAGCATGGTGTGCTTAAAACCTGAAAGGAAGTTTGTATCAGTATGATACTCCCATTGTAGTGTGTTAATTCATAGTGTCTGTGAATGACTTCTTGATCTTGAATTACTGTTTGCATGTAACTCTCTACTTTCTCTGAAGTTTTAATTTGAAATACATGAATTGGAGAAAACTGGGAATACTTATGAGTTTGATTTAATGCAGTTTTATATGGTAGTAATTATAATTTATATAGGTAATATTTGTAGCATAGTACAAAAATAACAATGAGAGAAATAATGAAGACAGAAAAGTATGTTTTATAGGCCTGTGGGTAATGCTTGTCTGTTAGTAGTTAAGATTTGAGATGCTCCTACGTTAGCAGCTTTATTTGATGCTTTACAGAAAGACTCTCCCAGCTCTTGAAGAAATTATTTGAAACCCAGGAATCTGGTGACCTCAATGAAGAATTAGTTAAGGCTGCTGCCAATGGAGATGTTGCTAAAGTGGAAGATTTGTTAAAAAGACCAGATGTGGATGTGAGCATTTAAAAAATTATTTTGAAGCATACACAAAAATAGAACAGTATAATGAATCTTATAATTCAACAATTATTAAGATTTTGCCACATTATGTCAATAGTTATTAAGAATTAATTAAACCACGTATACTTCATCTATTCCTTGGTTTCTGAGATATTTTTAGAAGACATCAGACATCATCATGTGCATTTCTAAAAGATACTGACATTTTCTTATTTAACACTGTGATCTGTTTTATGAATGACAAAATTTAGATTACAATTTTTAAGTTGTTAGTGTTTTTTTGGGGAAATTCAGTTAATTTTGCTCATAAAAATGTCATCTTATAATGTCTTATAAATAAATTTTAGTAAAATTTTAAAGCTGTTTTCCATCCCTCTTTTCAAAACATTTAATCCAAACTAGCCTGCCCAATGAATTTAGAGATGCTGTGTATTTTGTGAATCTTAATAATTTATGCTGTAATTTCACTGTTCACATAAGCTGTATTTGAAGTGCCATTTTGGTACTAGCTTGGTCATTAATTGGCTTTGCCATTGCTACCATACTGGCACCAACAGGATGTCCAGTGATGGCTCAGAGGTTGTAGTTGGCGTGGCAGATTGAATTGTTGCCACTGTGGCCAGGGCTTTTGTTGCCACACCTTTGTATCCTAGACAGTTTAAAGAAGGTCACATCTTCAGTTGTAAGGTATAAACATAATCCTATGAGCTTATGTGGCATTTTAGGTTTATTAGGGAAATACCAACACCCAGTGGTTTCCTTTTTTTTTATTATTTTTATTTTAGTATCATTAATCTACAATTACATGAGGAACGTTGTGTTTACTAGACTCCCCCCATCATCAACTCCCCCCAACATACCCCATTACAGTCACTGTCCATCAGCATAGTAAGATGCTATAGAATCATTACTTGTCTTCTCTGTATATGCTGCCTTTCCCATGTCCCCCCACCTACATTGTGTATGCTAATCGTAATGCCTCATTTTCCCACTTATCCCTCCCTTCCCACCCACCCTCCCCAGTCCCTTTCCCCTTGGTAACTGTTAGTCCATTACTGGGTTCTGAGAGTCTGTGGCTGTTTTGTTCATTCAGTTTTTTTTTTGTTCTTATACTCCACAGATAAGTGAAATCATTTGATACTTGTCTTTCTCTGCCTGTCTTATTTCACTGAGCATAATACCCTCTAGCTCTGTCCATGTTGTTGCAAATGGTAGGATTTATTTTCTTCTTATGGCTGTATAATATTCCATTGTGTATGTGTACCACATCTTTATCCATTCATCTACTGATAGACACTTAGGTTGCTTCCATTTCTTGGATATTGTAAATAGTGCTGCTATAAACATAGGAATGCATATGTCTATTTCAAACTGGGCTGCTGCATTCTTAGGGTAAATTCCTAAGAGGGAAATTCCTGGGTCAAATGGTATTTCTATTTTGAGCTTTTTGAGGAACCTCCATACTGCTTTCCACAATGGTTGAACCAGTTTACATTCCCACCAGCAGTGTAGGAGGGTTCCCCTTTCTCCACATCCTTGCCAACATTTGTTGTTGTTTGTCTTTTGGATGTTGGCCATCCTAACTGGAGTGGGGTGATAATCTCATTGTGGTTTTAATTTGCATTTCTTTAATGATTAGCGATATGGAGCATCTTTTCATGTGCCTGTTGACCATCTGAATTTCTTCTTTGGAGAAGTGTCTGTTCAGCTCCTCTGCCCATTTTTTAATGGGCTTATTTGCTTTTTGTTTGTTGAGGTATGTGAGCTCTTTATACAATTTGGATGTCAACCCCTTATCAGATATGTCATTTATGAATATATTCTCTCATACTGTAGGATGTCTTTTTGTTCTACTGATGGTATCCTTTTCTGTACAGAAGCTTTTTAGTTTGATATACTCCCACTTGTTCATTTTTGCTTTTGTTTCCCTTTCCTGGGGAGATATGTTCATAAAGAAGTTGCTCATGTTTATGTCCAAGAGATTTATGCCTATATTTTTTTCTAAGAGTTTTATGGTTTCATGACTTACATTCAAGTCTTTGATCCATTTTGAGTTTACTTTTGTATACAGGGTTAGGCAGTAATCCAGTTTCATTCTCTTACAAGTACCTGTCCAGTGTTGCCAACACCAGCTGTTGAAGAGGCTGTCATTTCCCCATTGTATAGCCATGGCTCCTTTATCGTATATTAATCGACCATATATGCTTGAGTTTATATCTGGGCTCTCTGTTCTTTTCCACTGGTCTGTGGGTCTGTTCTTGTGCCAGTACCAAACTGTCTTGATTACTGTGGCCCTTCCTCTTCTATTTTTTGGAAAACTTAAGGAGAATGGGTATTATGTCTTCTCTATATGCCTGATAAAACTCAGCGATGAATCCATCTGGCCCGGGACTTTTGTTTTTGGTTAGTTTTTTTATTACCGATTGAATTTCGTTGCTGGTAATTGGTCTGTTTAGATTTTCTGTTTCTTCCTTGGTCAGTCTTAGAAGGTTGTATTTTTATAGGAAGTTGTCCATTTCTTCTTGGTTTTCCAGCTTGTTAGCATATAGATTTTCATAGTATTCTCTAATAATTCTTTGTATTTCTCTGTGGTCCATCATGATTTTTCCTTTCTCATTTCTGATTCAGTTGATATGTGTAGATTCTCTTTTTCTCTTAATAAGTCTGGCTAGGGGCTTATCTATTTTGTTTATTTTCTCAAAGAACCAGCTCTTGGTTTCATTGATTTTTTCTATTGTTTCATTCTTCTCAATTTTATTTATTTCTTCGCTGATTTTTATTATATCCCTCCTGCTGACTTTGGGCTTCATCTGTTCTTCTTTATCCAGTTTCAGTAATTGTGACTTTAGACTGTTCATTTGGGATTGTTCTTCCTTCTTTAAATAGGCCTGGATTGCTATATACTTTCCTCTTAGCATTGCCTTCGTTGCTTCCCACAGAAGTTGGGGTTTTGTGCTGTTGTTGTCATTTGTCTCCATATATTGCTTGATGTCTATTTTAATTAGGTCATTGATCCATTGATTATTTAGGAGCATGTTGTTAAGCCTCCATGTGTTTGTGACCCTTATTGTTTTCTTTGTACAATGTATTTCAAGTTTTATGTGTTTGTGGTCTGAGAAGTTGGTTTGTAGAATTTCAGTCTTTCTGAATTTACTGAGGCTGTTTTTGTGGCCTAGTATGTGGTCCATTCTGGAAAATGTTCCATGTGCACTTAAGAATGTGTATCCTGCTGCTTTTGGGTGTAGAGTTCTATTGATGTCTGTTAGGTCCACCTGTTCTAGTGTGTTTTTCAGTGCCTCTGTGTCCTTACGTATTTTCTGTCTGGTGGATCTGTCCTTTGGAGTGAGTGTTGCGTTGAAGTCTCCTAGAATGAATGCATTGCATTCTATTTCCTCCTTTAATTCTGTTAGTATTTGTTTCATACATATTGGTGCTCTTGTATTGGGTGCATATATATTTATAATGGTTATATCCTCTTGTTGGACTGAGCCCTTTATCATTATGTAATGTCCTTGTTTATCTCTTGTTACTTTCTATGTTTTGAAGTCTATTTTGTCTGATACAAGTACTGCAACACCTGCTTTTTTCTCCCTATTGTTTGCATGAAATATCTTTTTCCATCCCTTCAGTTTTAGTCTGTGTATGTCTTTGGGTTTGAGGAGGGTCTCTTGTAAGCAGCACATAGATGTGTCTTGCATTTTTATCCATTCTATTACTCTGTGTCTCTTGATTGGTGCCTTCAGTCCATTTACATTTAGGGTGATTATTAAAAGATATGTACTTATTTGCCATTGCAGGCTTTAGATTCGTGGTTACCAAAGGTTCAAGGGTAGCTTCTTCACTATCTAACTGTCTAACTAACCTCTCTTATTAAGCTATTATAAACATAGTCTGATGATTCTTTCTCTCCTTTCTTATTCCTCCTCCTCCATTCTTTATATGTTAGGTGTTTTATTCTGCACTCTTTTGTGTTTCCTTTGACTGCTTTTGTGAATAGTTGGTTTTATTTTTTGCCTTTAGTTAGTATTTGGCTGGTCTGCTGTCTTTGCTGTAATTTTATTTTCTCTGGTGACATCTATTTAGCCTTAGGAGTGCTTGCATCTACAGCATTCTCTTAAAAATATCCTGTAGAGGTGGTTTGTGGGAGGCAAATTCCCTCAACTTTTGCTTGTCTGGGAATTGTTTAATCTGTCCTTCATATTTAAATGATAATCATGCTGGATACAGTATTGGTTCAAGGCCCTTCTGTTTCAGTACATTAAATAATATCATGCCATACTCTTCTGGCCTGTCAGGTTTCTGTTGTGATGTCTGATGATAGCCTGATGGGTTTTCCTTTTTAGGTGATCGTTTTTCTCTCTCTGGCTGCCTTTAATACTCTGTCCTTGTCTGTCATCTTTGGCATTTTAATTATTATATGTCTTGCTGTTGTCCTCCTTGGGTCCCTTGTGTTGGGAGATCTGTGGGCTTCCATGGTCTGAGAGACTATTTCCTCCCCTAGCTTGGGGGAGTTTTCAGCAATTATTTCTTCAAAGACGTTCTCTATCCCTTTCTCTCTCTCTTCTTCTACTACTCCCATAATGCGAATATTGTTCCGTTTGGATTGATCACACAGTTGTCTTAATATTGTTTCATTCCTGGAGATCCTTTTATCTCTCTCTGCCTCAGTTCTCTGTTTTCCTGTTCTCTGATTTCTATTCCATTAATGGTCTCTTGCCCCTCATCCAGTCTGCTCTTAAGTACTTCCAGAGATTGTTTTATTTGTGTAATCTCCCTCCAGACTTTATCCCTTAGTTCTTGCATATTTGTCTGCAGGTCCATCAGCATGGTTATGACCTTTGTTTTGAATTCTTTTTCAGGAAGATTGGTTATATCTATCTACCCAGGCCCTCTCTCTGGGGTTGTCTGTGTGATTCTTGACTGCACCAGATTCTTCTGCCTTTTCAATGTGATAGAGGTAGCTGCACACAGGTAGTATGTGTGTCAGCTGGGAG